CCATCTTGTTATGTTATTTGTCACTTCTCCACCTGTACTCTAGAAATATGTTGAAACCTCCTGCCTACTGATTTATCTTCTCCTAGGCTCTGTGATCTTGTGGGTTAGAAATTATTTTACTCCTTTTAGTGATGTCTTAGAAGGAAGAAGAAAGAAATGCTGAGGGCCAGTCTCCTGTGTTTGAGCAGAATTTCCCATGACACTATTATTTTTATATATGAGTTTACTTGAAAACCCATTTCTGTATAGTGACACTGATTTTTTTATTGGAATTATTTGTGTCTAGATAATTACGATCTTATTTTTTGAAAGTCTTCTATCCTTTTGTTATTTTCCCTTGTAAACTTTCTTGCCTTAGGATCACAGCTGTCTTTTTCCTGAATTTTGGAGATTATTTTCTTAAAGACTGGAGTGCTGATGTTTGTCCATGTCCCTTGGTCCCCTTACAACCAGATTTCCACCATTTTACTTATATAGTCATTTATTTTTTCTATGTCCATTTGAAAGCCCATTTCTTTTATTAGGCACAGTACCTTTTGGGTAAAGAAATTCCCATGAAAGTAGATAAGGGATTTATCAGATACTCTGCATTCGGCTCACCTGACAGCAAATATCCAGATTATCCATGTTTCTCTACTCATTTGATAACTTACATGCAGATATCTCTTTATAGATCACATTTGATTTTTATCGCTATCCCATGAGGTGTAAGGTAAGTATTGCCCTGTTTTATGAATAAAGTAAAGTTGCAGTATCTTGGGGTTGAAGTTGTGGCTCAGCGGTAGCGCGCTTGCCTAGCATGCGTGAGGCACTGGGTTTGATTCTCAGCACCACATACAAATAGGTGAAAATAAAAGTCCATCAACAACTAAAAAATATTTTTAAAAAAGTTGCAGTATCTTGTCTAATGTCACACACATTGCTAAGTGATAGAGGCAAGAGTTTGAACTAAGGTTCTCTGTCTTCCATTCAAGTACCATTCTCACTCTATCCCCTCTCATTGGTTGCCTCAAGTTTTATGACCCATTTGAGTCCCAGATCATTCCCTTTCTCTTTGACCAGGAAGACCATATCTACACTATAATATTACTTCAATTTTTCACCATAGTTTACTCAACCATTTTACTTGCCTTAGGCTCATATGTATTTTCATCACATATAGAGCAAGTTTCTCAGATAAGGAACTATTGACAGTTTGGGTCAAATAATCAAGGTGGGAACTACCCTGTGCAATGTAGGACAGTTCGGAGCATCATTGGCCTTTACCCACTAGGTGCCAGTAGCACACACACTTCTCCATTAAGTTGTAACAAACAAATGTCTCCATGTATTGGCAAAATCCCCTAGGAAGCAAAATTGCCCTAAGCATATAGGACTACTTCATTCCCCTCCTACCTAATTTTTCTCCCTTATTTAAAATGCAAACAAAATTTTCTATTCCATTTGTTAAACCTATTGTAATGTCCCTCCATGGTAGCTTTGAAGTTATATTTCTCTTTTAATGTAAAAATCTCTCCTTTATTATTTATTTACTGCTATAGTGAACAAGCACCCAACAGTACTGAGAAGTAGTCTTAAGTCTCCTTGCTTTATGTATTTTCAGTCTTAGAAAAGAATTTCTGATCATATACTTTTACCTGGGCATTTTTCTCCATAGCCATCCTTGATCAGAATTCTTAGTCTCTGGCCTGAGATTGTAGCTCAGTGGTAGAGGGTTTGCCTAGCACATGTGAGGCACTGGGTTCAATCCTCAGCACCAAATAAAGATAATAAATAAATAAAATAAAGGTATTGTGTCCATCTATTTAAAAAAAAGAACTCTTAATCTCTTCAAACATGTTCTTTACTTCATCTTTGTCAAGAACATATCACTTTATTGCCTTAACAGCAGAAAATCAAATCCTACTTTGTGACGATTTCTTTCTAGAAAGACGTTTATGTTCCTCATTTCCTTTTCTATTCCAAAGCACTAACTCTCTTTTATTTTATTTTATTATTTTTTAAAGAGAGAGAGAGAGAATTTTAATATTTATTTTTTTAGTTTTCGGCGGACATAACATTTTTGTTTGTATGTGGTGCTGAGGATCGAATCCGGGCCGCATGCATGCCAGGCAAGCGTGCTACCACTTGAGCCACATCCCCAGCCCCTCCAACTCTCTTTTAAAGAAGAAAAAAATAATGACACCTAACTTGTCCTTAAGTCTTTTTTTAAAAATATCTTTTATTTATTTATTTATTTATTTATTTATTATGTGGTGCTGAGGATTGAACTCAGGGCCTTGTCCTTCCTAGGTGAGCGAGCACTCTACCGCTAAGCCACAATCCCAGCCCCTGTCCTTAAGTCTTTTGTTTTTGTGTAGATTACAGTAGCTATAGGTTTTTCTCAGGGTCCATCTGGAATTATATTTGTTCCATCATGAAACTAAAAATAAAAGTTTTGGTCTACAGAAAAACCTGAGCAGTCACCTTTACATCCAGATGGGATCTGGGCCAATAAGATGGCACCATGTTCTGTTAGGCTATAAAAGGAAAGTCCTAATACAGGGGTTAGTAAAGTATTGGCAAGCAGATTTGATAAATCTCAGCAGGCTCTTTTTCCTGAGTGGAATAAATGGCTCTGCAAAATGATATTTCTTCCAACTGGCAATAAAAGGAAAAGAAAGAGAGGGTTGCTTAAGGAAATTGTTTTTGTTTTAGATTGGGGAGATATAAGCATGTGTATAGACTGAAAAGAAGGAATTAGTGAAAGGAAAATGATTTGAAAGTCTAAGAGAAAGGGGAAAGATTGAAGGATCCCAGGTCCCAGAGAGATCATGGGAATAGAAATATAGACAGAGACAAAAGGAAGAGCCTTGAGAATAAAAGCAGTCATTTCCTCTGAAACAAAGGAAAGGATGAAGGAATGAATAATAGCAAAGGAAAGAATGTGAGGTGGGGAGAAGGAAGGTTAGGGAACCCTTGTGGATAACTAGGCTCCATAATGTATTAGGTAAAAATTAGTAGAAAGTAAAGGTAGATTTACAGTCTTGAAAATAACAAGTATTTAGGATAGCTACCATAGTGAGTTAGATTAGTCAAGTACGAATGAGGAAGAAAAGATTTGTAACTGATCAAGATTTCAGCTAAGGTCAATAGAATGCTTGCAATGGATCCAGTCCATTTGGTTATGTTATTTCTTCAGCACTGTATCCTCCAGATAGACACCTACACAGATCAGTTTAACCTATGTTGGGAATGGTGGAAGGTCTTTGATCCAGTGAGTGCTTAGGAATGGAAAACTGAAATATTTATCTAGAGGGTTCAGAATAGGTATTTTAAGGCCCAGAAGAGTCTAATCTACTGACAATAGAAGTGTCAGTAAATTGGTAGCTATAAAAGTGAAGAACAGAATCTATGAAAGATGCAGTCACAGAGAAATGTGGGGTTTGGGATCTTATAAATGTATTTGTCTCAGGTTAAAAAGGGAGTCCAAAATATGGCTGCAAAAGTAGAAGGTAGAGTAGGGCTAACAAAAATGATACTATTTGTCTTAGTCTATTTGCGCTGCTTTAACAGGAAACCTTAGACTGAGTAATTTATATAAATAGAATTTTATTTCTCATAATTCTGGAAGCTAAGTCCAAGATCATGGGACCAGCAACATTATATTCTGGTGAGGGTATCTCCTCACTGCATTCTTCTATGGCAAAAAAAAGTGGAAGGGAAAAAGAAAAATAAAAGTGTTCTTATGTGGCAGAAGGGACAGAAGAGCAAAAGTCTCTCGCTAGTTGCCTCTGTCCCTTTTTATAAGGCATTAATCCCATCCACAAGGGCAGAGACCTCATGACCTAATCACCTCCTAAAAGTCCTTCCTCCCAATACAGATATATTGGGGATCAAATTTCAACATGAATTTGGACATTCAAACTATAGCACCATTTATGTATCGTTTGACTTTGGTTTATAAATAGTATCTTATTTGATTCCCACTACCACCAAATAAGGGGGATACATTTGTCTTATTTTATTGAGGATGTTATCCAAGATCATATAGTTAGTCAGGGACAGAGCCAAGATTGTAGCCTAGGTCTATCTGATACCAAAGCCCATGTACTTAACAATTATCCTGTATAGCCCTTCCCAGTAATAATGAGAAGTCATGTGTTTTAAAGGGACCTCAGAGATTATTACACTGTTTGGAAAAGCAAACCTGAGAATAAAATAAAATAGAAAAGAATGTTTATCCTTTTTAAAACAGCAAGAGGAAAGGTATTCCAGTGTTATATAAAGAAAGAGCATAGGACTTGACTGAAGTCCTAGGAATGGTGATCTTAGGCTGGGCATGGTGGCACACACTTGTATTCCTAGCAGCTCAGGAGGCCGAGACAGGTGGTTTACAAGTTCAAGGCCAGTCTCAGCAACTTAGCAAGGCCCTAAGCAACTTAGTGATATTCTGTCTCCAAATAAAAACCAAAAAGGGCTGGGGCTGTAGCTCAGTGGTAAAGCACCCCTGGGTTAAATCTTGAGTACCAAAAAACGAAAAGGAAATCTCAGGCCCAAAACTGTTTAACCTTAGGCAAGTCAAATAATTTTGAGCTAGTTTCCTTATCTGTAAAAGGAGAAAGATAGTAAAAAACAATGACAATAAAATTGTAAAAAAAAAAAAATAGCTGTGCATCCAATTTCACAGCATTAGTTTAAGGATTTTGATAATGGATGTAAGAAGTAAATAACTATACGGATGATTATTGTCATAGAGATAGTTATCTGTCTACTTTGTTTCCATGGTGAAAGGGCAAGAAGTGCCAAAAGACTCAATTGTGCAAATCCAACATTTGGACATTTGTTCTTTGAACTTTACATAGAGGCACACTCAGAAAAGTTAATAGGATTAAGAAAATTCCTTAGGATTGATTATAGTATTTCTATGGGGTCTTTATTTCTTTTTTATTTCTCAGAAGAAATGCAAGTATATGTGAGATACTTTACCAGGCAATTTAAATTTTGTTTCCTATTATTAGGTATAAATATTAATCGAGGCCTCTTGTGCTTGGGAAATGTAATCAGTGCTCTCGGTGATGACAAAAAGGGTGGTTTTGTGCCCTACAGAGATTCCAAGTTGACTCGACTTCTTCAAGGTAAGTCCAAAGTACCTCTAAAAATAAGAGAGAGTAACTGAGAATGATAGTGCTGAGCAAGCAAAGATGAGACAGGTAAAAAGCTAGCTACTGGGGCTAACACATACATAGCTGTCTAATTGATAAATAGAAGAGAGAGCTGTTGGCAGTCAGGTTTCCAAGATAATGGGAAAATGTCTTCATATATGGCTTTGAGAGCCAAGAAGTCTGTAGAGTGCCAACTGTACTTAGTACTTTACATCTGAAAATGAACATGGTTAATGTTTCTTTATATAATAGTGCTGCTAAGCAGAATTCTCTGGAGAGTTAAAATCTACCTAGAGGGGGCATCCTAAGAATGTTTAATCACAATAGTGAGGCTCCTATGGGTCAGGCCACAGTTGTTTTAACCTGATTCACTGCTGAAATAATAGTTTCTCTTGAGAATAGAGATACATACAATAGTGTTCTAAAATATGTATTATTTTACATACTAGAAATATTAAGAGTTTTTATATTAATACAAATAAGAAATTTGTAAATATCTTAAAAATTTTGTCACCAACCCAAATGGACAGCTTGTGATTACATCCTACCTATTTGATTTCATTTCCTTCCATGATTCTTTATTGTGTTTTTTTCAGATTCTCTAGGAGGTAATAGCCACACTCTTATGATAGCCTGTGTGAGTCCTGCTGACTCCAATCTAGAGGAAACATTAAATACCCTTCGCTACGCTGACAGAGCAAGAAAAATCAAGAACAAACCTATAATTAATATTGATCCCCAGACAGCTGAACTTAATCATCTTAAGCAACAGGTATAAGGGAATTAAAATTTTATGGGAAAAATTATGTGAGTGGAATGGTACAGCTTCTGTTTGTCATATTTTCCTCTGTCAGAATTTTAGATACGTTTGTAAAGCATTGTTAGTTTAGTGACCTCTTCAAGTAAATCCTATTAATATGTTTGCTGCACTTCTAAGATTGGAGGTAGCATTGGAGAGTTCACTGAAAAAGAAGTGAGCGGTGAGAATTGAAGCAAGAGATGTAGGCAAGGCCCAGATTCTGAAGTTCCTTATATAACCTGTTCAAGAATTTGGAAATCAGCTGGAAAGTATTAGAGCCATTTAAGGGTTTTAAATAAGAGGGTGATATGATAAAATGTGTGTGTTTTAGGGAGATAATCTCAGCAAGTATAGAGAAAGTAGATTAGAGGTGGATATGGCTAGAAGTAAGAAAAGAAATTTGGCTGTTATAATAACCAGGTAAGACCTATGGCCTGAATTAAAGGCAGTAGCAATAGAGATAAAGAGAAGGAGATAGTTAGGAGAAGAAAAACAAGAAGGAACTAAAATATATAGAACTTAAGTGGTAACATTTGATGTGGGAAAATTAGGGTGAGTGGGGAGAGTTGAAATTGGTTCCCAAGTTTCTTTCTTGGACAACTAAATAAATGGTAGTGCTGATCATTGAGTCAGGGAATACAGGAGGAAAAACAAGGTCAGGTAGGAAAACTGGAAATGATGAGTTCAGTTTGGTTAATTTTGAAGTTGAATGGCTATAGGACTTGTAATAGAAATGTTCAAATATAGCTGGCTGTATGGGTTTGATGTAGAGATGTCTTAGCTGAAGAAACAGGTTCAAGAGTCAATAGCATTAGATGGTATGAAGTAATGGAGAGGATAAAATCAAAGAGTACTTGACATATTAAAGTCACTCACTAAATAATTGCTGAATGAGCAAATGAAGAAGAGAAGGCCCAAACCAGAAATCTTGGGAACATTAGCACTTAAGAAACACAGGAAGAAGACAATACAGGAAGAAGAGGAGACAACAAGAGAGATTAAAAAGCAGTAGACAGGAAGAAAACCAGTGGGGTCATGACAGCCAAGGGACAAGCATTTCAAGGAGGATTATGAGAAGTATAAACTTATAAAGTGTAAGATAAGGATTTTTAAATGTCCATTAATTCTTGTTAATAAGGAAGCTATTGGTGACCTTTATTAGAGGAAGGTCAGGGGAATAAGAGTAGGTTGATTCAGGATAAGTGTACAGAATGGTAGGTAAAAAGTAAAGGAAAGGGCTGGGATTGTGGCTCAGTGGTAGAGCGCTTGCCTAGCATGTGTGAGGCTCTGGGTTTAATTCTCAGTACTGCATATAAACAAATAAAATAAAGGTCCATCAACAACTAAAAAAAATATTAAAAAGTACTGGAGGAAGCTGATGGTTCTTATTTCAAAGAGACATGGTAAGAAAAGGCATTAGCTAGAAATCAAGGGTCAAGGAATATAGGTCTGTTTTTAAACTATGGGAGAAAATTGCACAAGTAAAAGAAAGAACTGGGTGCAGTGGCTTATGCCTTTAATCCCAGCATTTTGGGAGGCAAGAGGATTGCAAGTTTGAGGCCAGCGTGGTCTACATAGTGAGACCCTGTCTCAAACTTTTTTGAAAGTGGGAGGGCCTGTTGGTATAACTCAGTGGTAGAGCACTTGCCTAGCATTTACAATCCCTGGATGTTAAATCTTCAGTACTGAAAAAAAAAGTAAAAGAACTAGATAGGAGAAACTGAGAACAGAGAACAGACAAGGTCATCTTCTAAGACTGAGCAGTCAAATAAGAATAGGGGGCTTGAGGACTGGGGTTGTGGGTCAGTGGTAAAGCACTTGCCTGGCATGTGTGAGGCACTGGGTTCAATCCTCAGCACCACATAAAAATAAGTAAATAAAATAAAGGTATTGTGTCCATTTACAACTAAAAAATATTTAAAACAAAAAGAATAGGGCTTAAAGTCACTCTCAGCAGAAATGGGAGAGTTAACTATGAGATGAATTTGTGATATATGACTGGTTGTACAACAGCTCAGTAGCCCTGTTAGAGAAGACAAGAAGGCAGGAATTAGATTGATGCAGGTATAAGGGAGTGACATTTTCTCACTTTCCAGATTATAGTACTGCTTTCACTTGAAATCAAGCATTTGCTAGCCCAATATTCACTCCCTCTCTAGCCTCCCCCCTTAGTGATTACTATTTAATCAATCTCTTTTCTTCCCTTTCCTTCTCCTTTATCTCATAACTTCCTCCCTAGGGGTCACAATAGAGAATATAATTAATTTATCTGTCCACAGTATCATCTGAATTATACAATACCACTCTGTCCCCCTATTTTCTTTTATGTTTATTCCATTGCCCAGAAGGCCCTTCTTCCTTTTATTCACTTATTTGCTCATTCATTTCAACAATAAGTATTTATGGAACAATATTATGTGCTGGGCACTATTCTGGGATACATTATTGAGCAAATCAACAGTTTCTACCTTCTTATTGCTTAACATGAGAGACAAACACTAAACACATAATCATATACTATTTTGTGATTAGAAACTAGGATTCTATGCTATGTGAGTGTTGAATGGGGCCTTCTGTTAAATATTCAGTCTGAGGAGCCTTCCCTAAGGTAGCAACATTTGAGCTGAGATCAGAGGGATTATGTATGCAGAGAAGAAGGAAGAGAGATGGAAGGAGAAAAACCAGTATGAGAGCAAAGTATGGCAAAGAGCATGAATATTGCCCACCAGACAGCCCAGGTTCAAATCCTGGCTTTATAGCTTACTAGCTATATACTTTAGACAAGTTGTCTGTCCCTCAGATTCCCTGTCTGCACTGGAAATAATAACAATACCTACTTTATAGGGTATTTGTGAGGGTTAAGTGAGTAATCTATATAAAGTACTTTGAACAACACCTGGCACATAGCAAGTACTGAAAGGGTCTGAGTTAGGATGAAGTATAGTGCATTTGGGAAACTGAAAGGATACTAGTGTGACTGGCCACATAGAAAGCAAGGAAAATATTCTAGTATGAACCTAAAGGGAAAGCAGAAACATAACCAAGAACTCATGGACCATGTGCAAAAATTATTTTAAGCTGGGTGGGTAACATTGGTAATTTGCATTTTTAAAAGATGGTCTGGCTACTATGTGGAAATCAGGAAAGTATGATTCTGGTAAGCCAAATGCTACCAAACAGTCAATTGAGTAAAATGAAGGCTGAAAAATGTTCCATTGGCTCTAATGATATTCAGGTCATTGGTGACCTTAGCAAGTTACTTTAATGAACTAATGTGGGCAAAAATCTGATTGGAATAAATACCTAAGCTCTACTTTAGATTGCTTGGCATTGATTAAAATTATCTAAATGCTAATTATAGTAATTTCTTTTCTTTTCTTTTCTTTTTTTTTTTTTTTTTTTTTTTTTTTGTACCAGGGATTGAACTTAGGGACACTCGATCACCAAGCCACATTCCCAGCCCTATTTTTTATTTTATTTAAAGACAGGGTCTCACTGGGTTGCTTAGTGCTTCAATTTTGCTGAGTCTGGCTTTGAACTCACAATTCTCCTACCTCTGCCTCCTGAGCTGCTGGGATTACAGTACAGGCATGTTCCACCATGTCTGGCTATTTGTAGTAATATCATTGCTAAAGAATTAGTAGTTTTGGATTTGTGATTGATTATTTTTCTTTGCTTCTCTCAGGTACAACAACTACAGGTCTTGTTGCTACAAGCCCATGGGGGCACCCTGCCTAGATCTATAAAGTAAGTTTCCTAAGATTACCTGATTGATTGTTTGATTGATTGATTGAGATGTTTAGGGTTGAACTCTAGGTATAGATTAATTTTAAATGTGAGTTATAGCAGAGGCTCTTTCTCCTGATAGTTGTTTTCCTCTGTTATCCTTTTAAAGTTTCTAGTAGCTTTCATTTGGTGTCACTGAAGGGAATTTACCAACCCTGCTGACTACTTTGGGCTTAGCTAGTTATCTTTGAAGCAGCCTGGTGTAATAGAAAAAGTATGGGTTTTGGTCTCAGAAATTTATGAACTTGAATGCTACTCTAGGAAGAGCTGTCTCCTCCCCAATGTATTTTTTGTCTACTTAGTTATATCCACAGATAGATGAATATTTATTTTGTTCTATAGGTTAACCTCCAATACTAGCATTTGTTTTAGTCAAATCATTCCTGCTTTATTCATTCAGAGCAACTTCAGTTAGCTTTTTGTGTTCTTTTGCAAGTCCTCAACTTTTTGAACATTTCCTCAAGATGTTCCAAACTGCATTTTTCTTACCCCAGTTCTGGAATCTTCTGAATTTCCAAGAAGCCTGGTTTCTTTTATTGGAAAATGGTGATTAGAAACTAAGAAACTTAGAAACTAAGATATGGGTGGTAGCACTGGTTGTATTCATTATTACTGGGGTGTCTTCACTTCTAGGCTTTCTTAGCAGGTAGAACTCAGAAATATCTGCACATGTAATAACCCACACATATATACTCATCTATATTTTTGTATCTATACAGATATCTATACAGACATCTATCGATCTGTATATGTATTAAAAACAATGATAATATAGTTCTGGTTCCTTTCCAACACTACAGGATTCATTTTGGTCTTCTCCTCATTTATAAATTCTCTAACAATGAGAAATACAGTCTTATTATCTGCAATTTATTTATGTTCAATTCTAGTGTATATATAATGGTGTTTCACAATGCTAGCCCATATCCTTGTGAGATACACTTTTATGAACTAGAAGTCAATATTTATGCACTTTTTTTTTTGCATTTAGCAGGGTACTTTTTTCTTTTTTCCCCACAATATCTTTATTTCGTTTTATTTATTTATTTATTTATTTATTTATTTATTTATTTATTTAGTGGTGCTGGGGATCGAACCCAGGGCCTCACACATTGCTAGGCAAGCACTCTACCACTGAGCCACAATCCCAGCCCTTAGCAGGGTGCTATTTTCCATAGTTAATATTTATATTCCATTTTGGGTTGGCCCTACATCTTTATTTTTGGCCCTACATCTTAATTAGTTTTAGTTATTTATATTTTGGATATGAAAATCATTAAAATGGATCTAAGTGTTTAGAGTTATACAAAAAGATACACTTAGAAAAGAAAATGGAAATTAAAATCCTGAATAAATAAATTGTGTGTGTGTGTGTGTTTTAATAGAAAATGATCAATGTTGGCAAGGATGCTAGAACATGGAAAAGTTTGAACCCTTGTATGCTGTTGTGGGATTGTAAAATGACATCTCCACTATGGAAAACAGGATAGAAATTTCCAAAAAATTAAAAATAGACCTATCATATGACCAAGCAATCCTACTTCTATATATTCAAAAGTATTGAAAGGGGTTGGGGATGTAGCTCAAGCGGTAGCGAGCTCCCCTGGCATATGCGGGCACTGGGTTCGATCCTAAGCACCACATAAAAAATAAAATAAAGATGTTATAAAAAATAATTTAAAAAATTCTCTCTCTCTCTCTCTCTCTCTCTCTCTCTCTCTCTCTCTCTCTCTCTCAATATACTGAAAGCTAGATATCAAAGAAATATTTTCACAACCATGTTCGTAGCAGCACTATTATTCACAATAGTAAAAAAGAAAGCAGTATCATCCCAATATCCCAATGTTCATCAACAAATTAATAAATAAATAAAATGTGATTAGTGACTGAATTAATAAATAAAATCTGATTAATGACCTCAGCAGAATCACAGAAGATTTTAGATTTCACTTTCCCCACAGAAAGATCAACAAGAAATTATAAACAAAATCACCTTGTTGAAAAATTTAAAACTTGAGAATAAGCCTGAGTCACCTAGTGTGTTCAAAGGAACTAAAAAAATTTTTAAAAAAATCAATAGTTGACTTAAATATGATTTCCCCATTTAGAGAAATGTTTTAGGGGGAAAACCTATTGAGTTAAAAGTATCATTACTTTGAAGCTGGATGCAGTGGCACACACCTGTAATCTTAGCAGCTCAGGAGGCTGAGCAGGAGGATTGCAAGTTCAAAGCCAGCCTCAGCAAAAGCAAAGCACTATGCAACTCAGTGAGACCCTGTCTCTAAATAAAATACAAAATAAGGCTGGGGATGTGACTCACTGGTTGAGTGCCCCTGAGTTCAATCTCCAGTACTAAAAAAAAAAAAAAGAAAGAAAAAGTATCATTACTTTGAAGCTCATCAACTTACATGAATGTCATGAAAGTTTTCAGTTTAATAAGAATAAGGAAATGACAATCTAAAACAACATTAAATTTACTAATAATTTATTTTTATAATACACAATTTAATTGAACATTCCTTCATAAGAGTGTTTGTGAATTCTTAACAGTGTGATATGAGACCTTACTGGGTAGCCTTGCTGTTAACTTTTTGATACATGGCAGGCTGAGATCTTCTATAAGAATTAACGGAGGTCTTGAGTTGGGTGAGAGGGCATCTACTCTATTCCTGAAATCTTTTTCTGTCCTTTATTGAGATTGAGACCAGCTGCTCCCTGTCCCTTTTTCTTTTTATCATAGCCTTGACAACTATTCATTTTCTCCTTTAGTCTTCAGATCAAATCTTCATATTTCTTCTGATCTTCTTTTTACCAGTTCAGTTTTCCAGTCTTTTGAATACTTCATCCAAATGGATTTTTAAAAAAGACTATGCTTCTTTTTGGTCTACTTCATTAGTCTAGAACTGATAGAAAATAAGTTCTAAAAGTTCTTATATGAATGTATATATTCCTATAAGCTATTTCTGTTCCTTCTGCTCATATTTGAAATGGATACCATTATTCCCACCACTCACTCTAAGCAAGTTGAAATTGATAAGCAAATAAACAGGACACTCAATTTCAAGGAAAGCAAGCATTTAGAAGAGAACACTTATAAAGAATTGTGAAATGTGGTTCTAGTGGCCAGTGGTAATCATTTTATATTTCTGACTCCATAAATTCTACTCTTCTAAATTTTACAGTAAGTAAATAATCAACTTATGATGGTCAGATTAAATTTTTTTTAAATATTTATTTATTTATTTTTTAGTTTTCGGCAGACACAAAATCTTTGTTTGTATGTGGTGCTGAGAATCGAACCCGGGCCGCACGCATGCCAGGCGAGCGCGCTACCGCTTGAGCCACATCCCCAGCCCGGTCAGATTTAATTTTGACCCCTGAGTGCCAAGGGCCAATGTCTTGGCTTGGCACCAGAATCACAAGGCACTCACAGCTTTGTAGGTTCAAACAGCAATTCTTTATTCCAGCTCTCACACCGCCTCCACACAGGTCCAGGGGCAAACGCGTTCTCTGTCTCCCGCACAAACCACCTACTCCACGAGGCTCTCTCCAAATCCCCATTCTAATCTCACGAGAACTC